CTTCAGAGTGTTCCCTCTGGGCCCTCTGAGCAGCCCCACAAAGTTGATTTCTGGATACTCAACTTGTGGAATTATGACTTTATCTCTCACACTTGTTGCTGGAGGTTTGCAATCTGCAGGTGACTTAAAATCTGGGTTGAGTGCAACCATCTGTGTGAGGAGGTTGTGCCGCTCCTCTTCCAGCTTTTTGCGGGTGCGGAACTCTGGGGTGTTAAGCCGCTTCCCCTCGTTACTGTAGACGGCTCAGGGGAAGGGGACCTGTCCTGAGGGTTGGGGAGATGCCCAGGTCTCCCGTGCGCAGTTTACGAGTCAGGTCTTCTAACGGCAGCTGCACTCTGTAAGGTTTTTTGTTGTTGTTGTTCTCGAGTAAGTCCGGGGGAATAACTGTAGGTATTCCCGCAATCACCGTCTTTTGTTCCATTATGTCTCGTTCCAGCGGCTCCTCTGCCGCTTCTTACTCGGGAAGTCCAGCGGCGTGGCATTCGCTCCAGTCGCCATGGCGCCCCCGGGGAGCGGCACCGGAGGCTGCTTTTCCTCGGCTGCAGCTTCTCTTTCGCAAGCGTCCCGTGGAGACTGCACCTGACTGGACTGCCCCACTCACGCGACGGGCGGCGACGGCGCGAGACGCACAAAGAGGGAGGAGAGAAGGCTCTGCGGGGGCGGGCCGGGAGCGACGGGGGCGGGACCTGATTGGGCCTGGCTGAGGCAAGGGGTCGAAATTGGCGGCCTCCCATTGGCGGAGCCGCTGTCCTTCTCGATGCGCTCTGGGATTGGCCGAACCGTTAGGCCAGGCGAGGAAATGGCGGCGGAGTCAGGTGTGCTGAAAACTGCATCTTCCACAGAAGCTTACTAAACTCAGGTATTATTTCTCCCTTGGAACATTGTTTTGTTCTTGTCAAAAAGGGGAGTTGTGTGACTAATCAAGTGAGCTGCAGAGGATGCACATGGATGGTGAAGGTTTAAATGATGTTCATTGAAAATTATGTGACTTTCGTGTCAAATAACTTTTTAGTAGCACCAAAAAGTATAGCTCTTAGGGAATGGATTTAAGTCAGTTGCCTAGTTTTATAATGTATCTGTGTCCGCCTCCTTGCTGTTTAGCGGAACAGCTATAGAGAGTGTGAGATTATACGACTTTCTGGGGTTTTGTTTTTGTTTTTGTTTTTGTTTCTGAGGTGGAGTTTCGCTCTCGTTGCCCAGGCTGGAGTGCAATGGCAAGATCGTACAACTTGCTTAAAATAAATTAAAATAAAATAGCCTCTCCCCTCCCCCATCTATGGTTTCTCTTTCTACAGTTTCAACTATGGTTTATCAACTGGAAAATTCCAGAAATATACAATTCTATAACACCCAAACACTAAATTGTGCATTATTCTGAGCAGCATGATGAAGTCTTACACTGCCCCACTACAACTAGCCCAGGATGGGAATTATCCCTTTGTCCAGCGGCTCCATGCTGTCTATGCCACCTGCTCTTTAGTCATTTAATAGCTGTCTTGATGATCACGTTGACACAGGCAGTATCACCAATGCATGTTTTTAATTATTTTTTACTTTGTAATGGCTCCAAAGTGCAAGAGTAGTGATGCTGACAATTTGGATATGCCAAAGAATAAACTTTAAAGAGCTTCGTTTAAAAGAAAGGTATAAGTTCTCAACCTAAGAAAATTTAAAAAAATCATATGCTGAGGCTGCTGAGATCTATGGTAAGAAGGAATCTTCTATTCATGTAGTTGTGAAGAAGAAAAAAGAAATTTGTGATTGTTTTGCTGTCCCACCTCACCTCACATTGCAAAAGTTATGGCCACAGTGTATGAGAACTGCTTAGTTAAGATGGAAAAGGCCATAAATTTGTGGGTGGAAGACATGAACAGAAAGGGGTTCCTATTGACCGGAACTGATTCACTACTACTGGAAGTTGCAGGTATCCCCTGGGAGTCTTGGAATGGTTCCCATGCAGATGAGAGGGTCTACATATGTGAATGTTCCTTTAGATTGTTTAAGATGTCTGTGCTGCCACAAATAGATATTAAGAAGTTGAAAGGAAGGAGATTAATATTTTCAATTATACTAGAAATGAAAACCTTAAAGTTCTCATCTGAAATCAAGATCATTAGAAATATTAAGTGATTTTTGAGATCATGTGGATTACAGTAGTATTCAGGCTACAGTAGAAATCTAAGTCTGGATTAAAGCCAAGCAATATGTGGAATAGCAGTGTGAAATGATGCATTTACTTTCCTTAGGATTTGGAATAATACTAAATAAATGTTACACATCAAGTATATATATATATATATATATATATATATACACACACACACACACACACACACACACACACGTATATACGCATATAGTAATCCCAATGACATTGGAGAAGCTATTATTATAAATTGCATATGTTGCATGATTTTGAAATACTGTGCCTTTTTCTTGTAAGATTTTCAGTGTGAAGATGCAACATTCTTGTAAGTTCAAATAAGCCAACAAAGATTCTACTTAGGTATTGTAACTTGTAAATAACTTAGTTACCCTTTAGCAGAACAATAGTTACAATGTAAATTTTACTTTTGGTGTATTTAAATTGAACTAGTAAATTCGTCTTTACTATGATATTAATATTCATTGATTCAACTAAAATTTTTATTGAATGCCTATTAAGTACAAAATCCTGTACTTTCTAAATAATTTTATATAATAACAATTTTCAAAAAAAACTCTATATAATCTCTCGTGTGGGCAAGGAATTGCCTCATCAAATCCGTTAAATATGAAAGGAATCTTAAGTTCACCTTCCTATCTGTTTTTGGAATACATGCTTTGATAAATACTAAAATCCTGACATTATGAGGGGAAGTATACTATCTGAAATGACCTAGTCTTTAGTTTGAATGATCAGGGTAAGATTATGTCCTGTTTATGATACTGGGTCCACTCTTTCACCTGGATTCTTTTAAGTTCTACAAACCCTATCCGTTTGGCAACACAGTTTCCTTAAACTATAGGATGTGTCTACTACTCAGATACCTTGCTTCATTCATTCAAAAGAATACATGAAAACTAGAAGACACTAAAGTATGTGAGAAAAGGGCCACCCCTCTTAGCCAAGGAAAGAAACTTTACCCATAGGATTACAGTAATATTCAGCAGCAAACTTGGGGACATCAGCATGAAAATTTGTAGTTAAGCTTACTTTGTAATTAAGAAAATTATTTCAGTATAGAAATAGTATTATGATAGAATGGTTGTTACTCTGTATTCTCTGAAATATTATGGTTTAATAAAAGACACTTTCAGGAGAAAGAATAGAGAAATAAGTAATTCTTAAAGGCTATTGCTCTTTCTACATGCAAAAAATTATTCCTCTGTATTATATATCTGGTTTTGAACAAAAACTCTCTGAATCCACAGGGAGAGCACCGGGCTTGATTGATTAAAAAGGCTGTCACTAACACTGGCCAGTGTTCCTGGATTTTCCAGAATATCTGGGCAGTTTTGCTATGCTCCGGCAAGTAGGAGAGTCAGAGGCAATGGCTAGTATGGAGAAAGAAATAG